TCTTTGGGCTTAGGTTTAGGTGGTGCAATTTAACCTACATATCCAAGTTTTTTCTCAGTCTGAAGCTGTATACAAAATACCAAGTCTGTAATTTTCTGTGCAATTGTAATGTCCCACCACTACGCTGTTCAGATTGGAGTAAACACTGCTCACTGAGAGGGAAAATTACTGAATGAGAACCAGTCTACCATACTTAATTACTGATTTACAAGAGAACTTAGGTTTTGCTTATATAGCTTTATCTTTTACTCCCCAGCACATTTATCCACTCTGAAAACAAATCCCCAAACCTCCTGGAATGTGGCCCTATCTGTCTGGGATCACAGCTTTCCATGAGAGTTACATGATAGAGAGTAATTAAACCATTGACCAGCTCCTGTTACTATGGGGCAAAAGAATTTTTATAGGAACCAGACCTGAGTTCTACAATGTACTTATCATCAGAATGACTGTCAGATGTAACCTACTCCACAACCAAATTCAGGCTTTTCTTTCAACATGATTCCACCTCCTCCCATAAACTGTATTAACTCTCCCATCATACCTACAAATGAAAATATTCACAGACTACCAGCAGTGTCTTCTGCATGACAGGAACGAAAACAGACATGATTCTACTTTCTCATCATTTACATTTTGGGGATGATCACATACCACAGATAGAGAGGCCATGTATACCCAAACACTCAATAAAAAAAATTCTAGTCTGTGGAAAAGTGGAGAGGATCCAAGGTACAAGATATTCTTTGAACTTCTACTTTACTCTTTATAGGAAGGGCATGTCAGAAGCTGAAAGTTAACCGAGACAAATTCCAAGACAGACTTTCATACAACTTTATGTTTAAAACACATCAAAGGCTTTTTTCCCTAGTTCCACTGTATTTGTTGCTGTTTTTTAAAAGAAGTTGTTTATTGAACCCTCATATCTGTGACCTTTCTAAGCTTCTGCCCTGGCAGATGGCACAAGCCTTGTTTTCTGGAGGGCTTAGAGGGCCATTTCACAGTTTCTGAAGTAGCTGATATGCTTTATTGAACACAAGCCAAAATATGACTTGCACTCCTACTTCATGGGTAAAAAAAGTCTCTATGTATATTATAAAGTATTAGTTAATCATTTACACGGATATAAATCTCCATGTGGAAAAATGCATAAAGGTGAAGAGGGATATTGTTTTAAAAGCACAGTCTTGATATCCAGACAAAAGAATGACATTTAGTGACTGAGGTTATGCTCTCAGCATTGCCGTAGCATTAGGGACACTGAGGGATCTTCAGAAATGAACCCTGTGCACGTGAACAGCTGAGTCATACTAAAACTATAATTAACAGGGGTAGCTGTGACAATGACCACAGTCATAACTGGTTTTGTTAGCTGTTATTTAACACTCTTACTTCTAGGTGCCTTCTACAACACTGTAATAACCAAACTTCCCTTTCCTTATAATTTCATTTGTCTGGAGATCTTGCAAGTAGTTTTGAGTACAGACCTTCTGGGCTACTAAGGATTGTGTGGATAACAGCAGCAGCTCAAACATTATAAAGTAACTGAAGTATTTATTGTGATGTAAGAAAAGGAAAAATATTTTTCAGCAGTGCTATTAGAAAAAGTCACAGCTAACTGTCCAACACATTTAACAGAAACAGGTATTAGAAGGAATTATGAAGAAGATAATAAGAAGTAAGTAACAAAGGTAATACAGGTATGGGTAGTCTATGAGGAGGAAAGAGATCAAGTGACTAAATCCATCTGTAGCTATATCAAAATCATCTGTATTCAGTATATAAAATTTCAAAATAATCTTTGTAAACAGAAGAATGTAATCCATAAAATTTTTTTGAAGACTTTTTTTGATTGTTTGGGTTTTTTTAAGATTTCCCGCAGAAATAAAAGGCAAAAGTTTTGTTACACTAAAGGTTTATACTTCATTGCACCACACATCTGTGAAAGCCAGTTTCTCAGATTTGTGCTGGAAAACTCTATTATAGCATTTTAGGCCAGCTATGTCAATTTCTTTGTTAGTCAACAAAGATTCAGGAATCAGACACAAGTATAATTACTCCATGTTTCATTTGGAAAGCCTAAGGTAAGAAAGAAAATGATCTAAATATAAGATGTGAAATCTTACATCTGTTCTGAGCAAGCATTAAATCAAAGTCAGAACCGACTGACTAAGCATCAGCTTCAAGAAACCATTTAATTAAAAAGCTGGGAAAAACAGCTTCAGAAATAAATGAAAATAAGATGGCAAATCGAGTCACTATTATACAATGCACTGAGAAGTACAGCATCATGAATAATCACAAGTAAAAGGTTTTGCTCTAAGATACAAAATAGAATTGTCCTAATTTAAGGAAGCAAGTATCTGTTTATGACACAATAATGAACTTTTTATGGGATTTCTAATCAGCTTGTTTTCAGCCTATCCTAATAGTGGTTAATTTCATGCCAGAGGGGCGCATTTGGCAAAAGCCTTGTATTCTCAGAGCCATAAAAGGACAAGTGCAAGTATGTTTAGTTCTCATATAAACACATTCATGCTAAAGTCCCAAACCACTCTTATAGCCAATAATTTCTTAACATCAAATTAAGGAGCTCAGGTAGTAACATCAGACTCAGTATAAATCTTTCCTGGAAAGCTATTTGCATAGATTTGAATTTCCTTATCAAGTTCACAAGAGAAAGCTGTTCCTTAAACAACTAGTAGTGCTGGTTTTTTGTTCTCCTGAGGAAGTAAAATTTCGCTTTTCAGACGTAAGGAAATAAAAGGCAATAATTTTTACAATTAAGCTTTAAATTCTATTGCACCAGTGGCCAATGGAAATTAAAGGTGGATTAAGATTTTAACTTATAAATGTACGTTTTCATTAGGAAGTTGTACCATTCAATTTGATAAATTATGCAAAATCCTATTTCTTTTATTTAAAAGGGATACAATGCATTCTTCTAAAATATTTCTTTTATGCTTTTCTAGGAAATTTTTCATTCACACACTTCCTTGATTATTTTTAGTCAACCCTTATAGTGTCGCTTAATTCCCACTCCACCGCATTGTGTTCTGGTTTGTTTCTGAGTAAAGATTCTATACTTTTTTCACACAGGAAAAAATTATGAAAAGTAGATAGCCTTTTATATAACACAGAGTGTCACCAAGTTAAGAAGTTTTGTGAAAGATCATTTCAAAATGCTGATGATTGAAAGTTTGCCAACAGCAGCCTGAGTTAAAAGAGCATTAGATAATTTCTCTCCAAGACAGAACTGACTTCCATTGCTCATTTACATGAGAGGTCCTCTAGATGCCAGCTACAGAAACAGCAGTCTTGCAACCCTGCTATTACAAGTGGTTGTCTCTCAAGCTGTGAACTTCAGCCAAGTAAGATATAGACAACTTGTTCATTATTCAGGAAATTGAACAGGACTTATTGCTACAGCAATTCTAGCTAGCAACACTGCACACGAGGTACATCAGACAAATACTGGATTCCACTAGTATTTTTGCAGAAAGCTTCAACTGCATGGAAGGCAAAAGCATCACTTAGAAATCATAGCATTTACTCCATGTTTTTTTCAAGCACATTGGTGACAAATGACATCATATTTAATGGGTACCAAGAAATACTGCGTTTAAAAGAAAAACAAACAAAAAAATCTACTTACTTACTATGATAAAATGACATTGATGTTTTGAATTCTACTAAGACGAAGCCAAGAGCAGGGGGAAATGCTGGTTGCTTAAACAAGACCATGGAAAATCTGGATTCAGCTGCATAACTCACTTTCCAAGGGCTTTTGTGCTGATGTCTGTCCTGGGAACTATGACATTTTTCTCCTTGCTATAAACCCTCACGGTAGCTCAGACCAAAAGCCTAATTCAGAACTCAACTATTCAAAAGTGAAAGAATGGGTAGGAGTCATTTCAGATAAGTCATCACATTTGAGACTTGTATCTTAATGTATTAAAATCCAAAGATAAATCTCATTTTTTAGGTTTGACATAAAAAGAAGAAGAAAAACATGGATCATATGTAGAAACTTCCTAAAAATTTTGGGTTACAAATAAACATCACTGTCAATATTTAAAAATGGTGGGAAGTTTAAAAAGTATTATTTGAACAATGCTTCTGTTTGGTTATTCTACTTTTTGGTTTGCTTTATTTTTTCTTTGGAAAAAGTTGATTAACCTATTAGCCAGTCTAATAGTCCATACTTATTCTTTTATGGTCAAAGAAGAAACATGTTTTACTTTTGTCTAAACAATTTTATTATTTCAGACATAGTGCTTTTCTACACTTACTAACAATTCCTCATAGTCCTTCAATCTTTTCCTCAGATATTTACAACATAAGACTAAAAAATGAGCAAGACTGGTCAAGATAATGATAAAAACAGCACTTACAAACTTCTGCATTATCCTATGGATCACAACCTAAAACATGGTAGGCATTGGAAAAAGGGAGTATTTGTAACACCAAATAATCATAGGTTTCCACAACACATTCTGTTTTCAGCTGGGCAATCACAGATTTTAATTTCTGTATTTTCACTGGGAGATTATTCCATAAGGGTAAGTTTTATAGCAACAATCAATCCACCTCCACAAAAGTTATACAACTATAAATCATTGATGGAAGGTGCTGAATACCTTAGTTCCATTCAACATGCAATAATAATACGCATAGGACAAACCTTCTCCTATAACTAGCTAACCAGAAACCGAATTTCAGTATCAAGACACTGTGCTGGAATCCACCACAAGGAAAGAAACCATTTACTATGGCTTAGATTTTTCCTTCTATTAAAACAGAGGACCTTCTGCAGAAGAAAGACATTGACAGAATTAAGCTATGATGCTGGTCAAACCCTCTTCCTCTCATTGCCACCACTGACCCCATTCTTTCAGCAGAAAGAATCACCTTCTACTTCAATTGCCACATAATTTCCACTATTAAAAATAGCGCAGGATTGCCACCACACGAAAGCATAAAAGAAACCAGGAACATACGATGGACATAGATATTGCTTCTTTTTCCCCTTTCCTTTCTTTGAAGACTTCTCTTTGGAATAGACTTCTTCAACCCATAAGGAGAATGAGATGAAAAATACAACTGCTAGTAAGAACTTCATCTTGAAGATTAAGCTTCAGAGAAACCTTCAGTCTGTGGCAAAAGAAAAGAAACAGGTTTATGTTAGTAGGGCTAGATATGGCAAAAGGGAACACACCTACAAAAAGTAAGCAAAAGTTTTGATGGGCTGTTTTTTTGTTGTTGTTGTTCTTAGTTGCCTTGGGAGAGAGAGTCTGTTGAGGTGTATCTCTGACATGGAACTGACTCAGCCAATTTTCTGAGAGTCAAGTAGCTTCCCAAAGTTGAGACTGACAGTGAGGAACAGATTTAAATGCAAGTTTGCTCCAGAGTGTTTATGAAAAGAAACGTTATGCCCTTCAAAGGCTGCTTAACCCAAAATACTCAGAAACTTGGAAAGAGGATTCCTCACCAGAAATGTCACATATCAGCTGCATTAAATATAATGTCAACCAGTCATCTATCAAGGCGAAGAACTGCAAGCCCTCTATGACCTTGCACATCATTTCAATAATGATAGCAATTGTTTCAATGCTAGTTATGAGAAAGGATTACAAATACAATTTTAAGTACAGAATTTAAACACAACTATTTTGCATGAAGCATTCTTGCTGCAGAGCTAGCACTGAAAGGGCCTTGCAAAGATGACTAAACAGAACCCGCAATACTGTGCTTTATTGCACAGTGCTCAGTTTAATGATTTAACTTCTCGGGGCAAAAGCATGTACCCCAAAGGCCAGGAGCTGAATTCGTCTTTGGCCAGAGACAGTCCCGCCTGCCTCTGGTCACAGCACCGTGACACTCCCGATATTTTCCATTTGTTTTCCATCCCAGAGATAATTACCAGGCACTTCCTTGGGCCAACGTAAATCTCCCAGATGCCTCACAACCTGCTGCATTTTCCACTTCTATTTACTTAGATGAATTTTCCCCCATTCCTTTTAAGAGGCATTACCTCTCCTTCTCCCTCGCAAAACCTCCGGGAGGCACCGGGATGCTCCAGCAACCCGTTCTCCGGGAGCCGCAGCACCCTTCCACCCCTTCCACCCCCTCGGCCCGGCCGGGAAAGGAGCTGCCCCTGCCCCACCTGCCCCTCGTCCGCCTCTCCGTCTGCACGGCCCGGCCCGAGGCCTCCCGCCGCCCTCAGCACCGGGAAGGGATCCCGCTCCGGCAGCCGGCGCTGCCGCGCCACACCGGGGCAGCGGCAGGGGGCGGCGAGCGGGTTCACCGCACGGCCCCGCCGCCGCGGCCCGGGCCCAGCCGCCGCGGGCGCTTGGCCGAGTGCTGACGGAGGTTGCCGCCGGACGGAACGGGGCTGCCGGGCCGGACCTCGCTTACCCCCTCCCGCCCGCCGGGGAACGGCGGCCCCGCCCGCACTCACGCGCCCGCCGCCGCCACGGCCGCGGCGGCCCGCGCCCGCGCTCACCGCCGACGGCTTGCGATTTCCCCCCGCCTCAGCGCCGGGCGGCGGCGGGCAGCCGGGCGGCGGGCCATTGCCGGGCCGGGCCGGGGGCGACAGCGCGGCTCCTCCGCCGGCCGGAGCCGAGCCCCTACCTCCGCGGTGCCTCCGCGCCCTAGTGAGCATGCTGCGGCCGCGGCGCTTCCCCAGTGAGCATGTCCCGGCCGCCCGCCCACACCGGGGCACCGCGCGCCGCCAGGGGAGGGGCGAGCGCGCCGGACCGCCCGCACCTCACCGGCACTTGCCGACCACTGGGGACGGGGCACCGGCGGGGCGGTGGGGGGTGCGGAAGGGGTGGAGGGGAAGCATCCTCCGGTCTCTGGCGGGAGGAGAATGCGCTCGATGATGTGTTGTCGAGAGATGCTGATAGAGTTGGCAGGAACAAGGGGACATTAGTGGAGAGGGGCTGAGTAGGATGGTAGGAAGATGGAGTGCCGTCTTGCACAGATCGGTGGAATGGTGGATCAAAGGGCCGAGGCCAACTGTATAAGGCTCAAGAAGGCCAAGTGCTGAGTCCTGCCCTTGGGTCACAACAATCCAATGTAGCATTACAGGCTGGGGGAAGAGTGGCTGGAAAACTGCCTGGTGGCAGAGGACCTTGGGGTGCTGGTCGACAGCTGCTGAATATGAGCCAGCAGTGTGCCCAGGTGGCCAAGAAGGCCAATGGCATCCTGGACTGTATCAGGAATAGTATGGCCAGCAGGACCAGGGAAGTGATTGTTCCCCTATACTTGACCCTGGTGAGGCTGCACCTCAAATCCTGTGTCCAGTTTTGGGCCCCTCACCACAAGAAGGACATTGAGGTGCTGGAGCATGTCCAGAGAAAATCAGCAAAGCTGGTGAAGGGTCAAAAGGAGCACAAGTCTTATGATGAGTGACTGAGGGAGCTGGAATTGTTTAGCCTGGAGAAAAGGAGGCTCAGCGGACACTATCACTCTCTATGACTGCCTGAAAGGAGGTTGTAGCAAGGTGAGGCGTGGTCTTTTCTTCCAGCACCCCCTTGCCGGGTGCAGGGAAGGGGTGCAGGGAGGGGGCAAGAGGCAGCCCAGGACACCAGGGTGGGCAGAGGGAACTTGCTGGCCCACCTTCCACTCCTCACCACCTCATCTGGCAATAGATCCACCAAGCAGGTCGAAGCCACTAAAGGGCTACAACATAGGACCAGCTCAATGGAGCAAGGACCATCTCCTTCACTCTTTTATTGTCCCACAAGCAGCCAGAGAGATGACTCGAGCGTTGCTGATGTCCTCCAGTTCAGTTATGGCCATAGGGGTGGAATTATCTTCCATTTTGCCAGTTAGAGGAAGGGTGGCAGCGAGAAATAGATATATAATGGAAATCAACTTCTGGCTTCATGGCTTATGCTGGTGTGACGATTTTGTTTTTTACAACAGGACATTCTTTAATGACTATAGCCTGGGAGAGCAGCCATGGCTTCTTCTCTGCTCGGTCCTCTCCTTTCTGTACTCCTGTACAAGTGGGTTTGACTCCTTGTCCATGCATTTGTTCTTCCTCCTCGTGCTCCTGTATGACCTGGCCATGGGTCACATCAGCCCCAAACCCTAGAAGGGGCTTTTCTTACCCCCTCATTCTTTCTCCCCACATTCCCAAGCTGTAATAGTGAAATGTGAAGAAGCAGCTGGTTTTCAGCTGTTTCAAATGAGCTCCCTTGCCCACAAATGTCAAGCTGAGCAGGGAGGGCAAGCTCCAGCTATCTGGGAACAAAGACAGCAGGTACCAGGAGGACCAGAACAGGCACTCCACCTAATTCTTTTTTTTTTTGGCTGCTGAGTATGGGAGGATTAGACTCTGTAGAGGACTCCTAAAAGGCTGCTGTAAGTGCTGCTTTATGACAGGGAGGGCACCCACAGCTTGGGAAATCGCTGTGTCCATAAGTGTGTCCATAATTCCCAAAATAGCTGAACTCATGAATGAGATCTCCATTTTCCAGGTACAAACCCACCAAATAAAATAGTAGGAGCCTGAAGTGCCACAGGTTATCCTCTCCTCTGGAAATCGTTCTTCTCTGAAACAAAAATTTCCCCAAGGGACAGATAAGGCTCTATGCCACACTTGCCAGTAACTTCCCCCCCCCCCGACTTTGTTCAAAGACAGTTTCTTTTACATGCAGAAGCATTTTTCTATTGCAGCTTCTTTGAAGCAAGGCATGTCTTAACACCTGATGCTGGGGCAAGGCAGCAATCAACTGTGGGCAACATCGCCCTGGATCCCAGCCAGTTTCCCAGCCTCTGCCAGCCCACAGCACTCAGTGATTCACACCCTCCCCTCCATTTCAGTTTTTCTGTCCTGTCCCACTGTGCTGGGCCTGGGCACCAGCTCTAGGTCATAATTTACCTGCAAACTGAGGACTACCTAGAGGACAGGAGCAATTGCTTTGTTCGCTTCCCTGTGCCTGCCACACCACTAGGCACATGAAGGAGAATGATAGCTCCTTCCTGGTTCCAATTTCAGCTGGGGTGGCAACTCCCAGTGTTTCACCCTCCACAGCCTCCATCTGCTCAGCCAGCCATCCAGGCTGCAGGCCAGCTCTGGGGCAGAACCACACACACAGTACCGAGACCCCACAAGGCCTCATGCTGGCTCCCAGCTCCGTGTCCATCCCTCACCCGCACACTTGGAAGAGGGGTCCAAGGCACGAGGAAAGCAGGCAGCAGTGGAGACAGCTGAGGGTTAATTTCAGAAATATTTTCTATCAGAAAACATCAGCTTTTTCCTCCAACTACGGCAAGCCTAGCTGGATCTTGTCCCCATGCATTGGGACTGGCAGGAGAAGCGGGTGTGTCCCAGAAAATGCAGAGGCCCCGCAATGCTGGCATGGAAGATCCCAGGAGCTGTTCTGTGGTGATTAGTGCCTCAAAGCCATAAAACCCCCTCAATTCTCACCACTTCATGTGAGCTTAAGCAAAGGAATCATTTCTCCAACAGTCGACCACAGCACATACTGGGCTGCACGCTTGGTTGTTTTCTAACACCAAGAAAAAAGTATATATTGCAGCCCATACCAGAACAGTTGCTATTTCAACCCAACCTGATCAAGTCCCACAGGCTGTTCATCCCGAGCTAGGCTCTCCCATGAAGGCGGTGGAATAAAGAGTAGGTCACAACCAATCTCCCATAGGCATGTTTGCTGGCAGGGGAATGCATGGACAAAATAAAGAAGGAAAAGGAGATAGGGTGATTACTTTTCCATTTTCCTTGAGCAAAACAGTTTTATTCAAGTGTTTTCCACTTTTAGTAAGAACCAAAGTTAGATATTTTGGCTGAAGACCCTCCACTTGCCTCAGCAATGGCACCAGCTCCTTGTCCTGACTTGCTTTGAGCCTGATCTGCCTCTGCCAGCTGCCCTGTCCTGGCTGCCCCCGCCCCACCATGGCCCCCATCCATTGCCAGACAGACATGATGGCCCCACGGGGCAGATCCTGGAGCTTCCACCCCACCGCTAAGGGCAATGTCTTCCCCTCCCAGTTTGCAGGATGGCTTTCAGCAACTTGGGAAGCCTAACCCCCAGGGCGCTCATACCTCTGCCTTGCCCTGCCAGGTTTCCACTGCCCCCAGCCAAGTGGTTTTTTTTTAATTGCTACCTGCATTTCCTTACAATTCCTTTAGCTCCCTACAATTCACTGCTGGGGACACAGAGCTGCTTTCGTTTATCTCCACAAACATTTAATTTCACCTTTCACCTTCCTCCCCCCCTGCTCATTTGCCTTTTATGCACACCTCTACCCAAACCTGCCTAACATGCCCTCTCGTGACTCAGCTCTTTCACTATTATTTCAGTTCTTCTAAAGTTAATGTCCTCCCAACACTGTTATGTTAGAGCACTTGCTACAGACTCAGGAAAACCAGGGCTGGGGCAAATCCAAGGCAGAAGGATGAAGGATTTCCATAGTGAGGGAAGGAGAAGGCTTGCTTTGGGAAGCAGGATCCATCTCGAGGCCAGGTGCAGGCATTGGCAAGTGCTTCCTGATGCAGCTATGATAATAAACACCTCAGGACAGATAAATACTTGTGGTAATTCAACAGGACAATTCAGTGAATGCATTTTCTACAGGAAAAAGCCTCTTCTTCCACCTCCCACCCTATAAAAGCTGTCCAAGGTCACAGACAGCTGCTTTCCAACCTGGCAGCGCCTTCTTGGCAGGCCAACAGGGACAAAATAATCACTTCCCCCCCTCACTCCACACTTGCCAGGGGAAGCCAGAGCTGTCATGCATGCAGGAGTCTGGAGGGCAGTCCACACACTATTCCAATGTCCTATTGCAACCAACCTGGCAATGCCCAAATGGGAAGGACCAGAGAAAAAAGCCTCGTATGAAAGTCTTATATCACCAAGCCAGTGATTATGACTATGAGTAATGATCCCGCTTCTGCTGATTGGTTTTGACCATGGTTTGTATTTCAGAGATCCTATTGAAGAGAAGTAAATAAGATAGAAGTTTTACCAGTAAATGAATGTGTAAGGACAGACCCACGTCTGTCTCAATATTCATTGTATTTCCGAGTGCAGAGGTAAGACTTAGCTGTCTTTTCTTGGGTTGCAATTGCTGCTGTGTCCAGTGTTAGGAATATCTAACCATGTTAATTTGTCTAATTCAGGAATAATTCCTGTGAATTCCTGATCTTAGACAATATCCTGATTACTAGAAAATATTGGTGTAAACCAAATGCAAAATATAACAAGACCTTTCCTAGTGATCA